CTGCCCAGCTCAATCCAAGCAGCTGAGTCCTTAATATTTTCAAGAAACGGCTGAAAACACATCTCTTTCATCTTCATTTGACTCTCTAACTCTAGCACTCTCTATTCTAATGCTACTTCTAATTGTATCTGCTTGTATTTTTTTATTAAAAAACTTGACCCTCTAACATTTGCACTCTCTATTGTATTTATATTCTAACTACTTGTTTTATTTATAATGAAAAAAGAGCCTCTAACACTAGCATTCTCTATTCTTTCTCTATTCTTTCCACTTATTTTCTTTTTATTTATTATAAATAATGACCTTCTAACACTAGCATTATCTGTTCTTTTTCTGTTCTATTGAATTGTTTTATTTTTATTTAAAAATGACCCTCTTAACAGTAGCATTCCCTATTATTTTTATTTTCTTTCTACTTGTTTTATTTGTATTTATTATAACAACAAAATAAGCAAACAAACAAAAAGAACTTGCTACGTATACTGCTACCCCCCACTGTCCTTTTTTTGGAAAACTAAAATATGGTCACCCTATTATAAATATACTTCATTATTATGAAAATACCAGAGATGGCTTAAATAACACAGATAAACTATATTGTCGCAGTCGAGTGTTTATTGATTCTTTCTCTATTCTTTCCACTTATTTTCTTTTTATTTATTATAAATAATGACCTTCTAACACTAGCATTATCTGTTCTTTTTCTGTTCTATTGAATTGTTTTATTTTTATTTAAAAATGACCCTCTAACAGTAGCATTCCCTATTATTTTTATTTTCTTTCTACTTGTTTTATTTTTATTTATTATAACAACAAAATAAGCAAACAAACAAAAAGAACTTGCTACGTATACTGCTACCCCCCACTGTCCTTTTTTTGGAAAACTAAAATATGGTCACCCTATTATAAATATACTTCATTATTATGAAAATACCAGAGATGGCTTAAATAACACAGATAAACTATATTGTCGCAGTCGAGTGTTTATTGGCTTTGTTTTATCATTCAAAACGTTTATGTTCTGTTTACTCAGTTACAGATATAATAGCGATGCCTTTGTCCATATAAGGGATTTCCTGGAGGGTCATGAGTTCTCTACTTCTGTGACTGGATATGGGGATTTTCTGTGCGAGGGCACCCTCTGGCATCCAGTATGAATGAAACCGACATCATGTGTTTATAGTGCTAATGGCCATTTTTTGGGGGGAATTTTTATTTATTTATTTTTTAATAAGTATCGGTTCAGGCACCGTTTAGGCACCGGAACGTTTTAAAAGTATCGATTTGGCACCAGTATTGAAAAAAAAACAAACGATACCCAACCCTACAGATATGTCTGTCTACATTGCTCAACACGGCAAACACGTGTTATGAATAGAAACTGCCTATGCGTGCGCATGTTAATCATTTGTATGTTATATTAGTTGTTCTTGTTGCTTTTGTGCAATAGATGAATAACAATTTATGTTTATAGAAATTTTATGTTTAGATATATTTCTATTTTGCGGGAGTCCTGCGAATAATTTTATTCTCCCGCATCCCGCGCACACACCAGCTCGCACACACCTACTCGCCCGCACCCGCACTCGTCTCTCTGTCCCGCGCCACACTCTGTTGCGCTGGGTCCCGTGGGAGTGCAGGTCTCTACTCGGAAGGTGCCTGTTTTAATGTTATGATAATGAATGTTATGATAACTAGAGATCGACCGATATATCGATTTACCGATATTTTTCCCGATATTTAAGCATTTTACAATAATCGGATATAGGTTTTGTAATATCGGATTCACCGATAAACGCCGCCATCTTGTGGATGTTTTGAGAATTGCGCGCAGGATCACCATTGCAGCGCATCTGAGGGGAAACAAGATGACAACAATGGCGTGCACGGGTACTTGATTTACTGTAGTTAATAAATTTTATTTAACATAACAGCCATTAATGCACAAATTAGATGTATTACATAAATGCCTGATATGCAGTTTATGTAGCTTGGCTCGAAGAAATAGAGACAAACTCACGGAGTCATGTAAAATAATCCGTCAAGTCCTGTCCCAATAAAGATGTAACTTTGCCTGAATTAAATAATATGCAGCCATGAGTGGGCGCATTTTGGAAATAAAAGTGCTGAATTTAATTCGCTCTCTGTTGTCTATATGCTCATCGTCTCATGAAGTAGGAGTCACGTAGGCTAAGATAATCCGCCAAGTCCTCTCCTAATAAAGACGTAACTTTGCATTAATTAAAAAATACAGCCATGAATGAGCGCATGTTGGAAATAAAAAAGCTAAATCATTATTTCGCTAATAAACATCTAAATAGATACAACTCTATGGAAATTATTTATTATCTCCACGAGCGATCGCAGTTTGAATAGAGTTATGTGTAAATGCATAGATAAACTGCGCTGTCAGTAGGCATTTCATAATCTAGAACGACAAAACCATTATTAGTAATTCTGATATAACATGCCAGTTGAGAAATGCAATACATTTATTTTCTCCATTTGAAAAGATTAGACCTTCTACATTTATTTTGCTTATTGTTATTATTAGTGTTGCTGCTGATGCTTTAAATTAAATGTTTTTTTTATTGTTGTAATGTGAAGATTAAATGTAACATGAAAGACTGCTAATTTTCAACACTTTTTTTTAAGATGACTGAAAGGAGGAAAAACCAACGTGAAGTATGGACTTACTTCACTCAGTCATTTATTTACTTTATAACAGTAAATAAATATCGGTTCTGCATATCGATTATCGGGCACATAAACATGCAAATAATTGGTATCGGTATGGGTTATAAAATATCAATATCGGTCGATCGCTAATGATAACATGTTTTTCTATAACAAACTAGATACAACGTTAATGCCCTGGCAGTTGCATATAGCTTTGGTTTTATATTTAATTTGATTACATTAATGTTTAATTGAGATTTACAAGAAATATTTTAACTGCTACTATGTAAAGGGAATATTGCTGTAAAAAAGCACCTTATTTGTTTAAAGTGTTTGCAAACAAATGTTACTGCATTTTTGTTCATATAGCAGTACTTTTAAAATAAAATTGCACAATACACCACTTTTGAATTCATTATTGAATTTTGCGCATAACAGTGCGATTAATTGTGATTAATTGCAGAAAAATCATGTGATTAATCACGATTAAAAAATGTAATCGTTGCCCAGCACATACATACATACACACACACACACACACACACACACATATATATATATACACATATATATACATTTTAAATAAATGTCTTTTAACAAAAAAGAAAGTTTATCAGTCTTTCAGGCAACCCACAGAACAAGATGTAGTTTTGAAAAGATGTAGTTTTGCACATCTCTAGTTAAAATTGGATCATTCTTGCGATCCCAGAATTCAGACAATGAAACGAGAAAGACTCAGTGCTGCAATAATGAGATCGGTTGCAGTGCAGCGTGGGACTCCCTGCTGCTCTGGTTTCTGTGGAACTGTGGAGCTGCATGGACACATAGCAGACACAGAGGATCAGGGCTGATTTCTAAAGCTGTGCCCATGTGGGGGTGTAACACTGATGCAATGATGCTCATAACGCCATAGTGTTGAATAATCCATGAATTGATCTGTGTTGAACATACGCATAACCACATATGGATATAGTAGTACCATGTGTCTCAAAGGCAAGTATATATATATATATAGGTCACTTTACCATGTAAGCCTGTGATATTCAGAATGGAAAAATAGCTTACTACTTGCGGACTACTACACTAAATACTATGTACTGCTTGCTGCTTTTTTAAATAGTGTGTAAAACGGTATACATACTGTAATGATAAAAGTTTCAGTATGCTTTATCATGATCTCATTGTGGCATCAAGCAATATTGGACATTTGTAGCACTGCACAGTTAATCGAAATAAAACCAAAATCGCAATATGGCTTAGTCCAATTATCAAAACACAAAGGCTACGATTTATTAAAAGGAATATTTTTAGCATGTTTCAGAGTGAAGCACAGTGCTGTGTTCGTTTACACGCTGACAGCTCATGATTGTGTTTTCAGTGTTTCATAGCAGCTCGGTTCGCAGTAAATGCTGCTCCGCATGAGCTGCATCAGCTCTTGAGTTGGATCGCTTCTAACATGCATTTTGGAAAGCAACATGCAGCAATCATATTCCCAAACTTGTAATGACAAGTGCTAATACACCTGATGTTATTATATTATATTGTTCTTATACAGTGAAACATTACAATAGTGATATTTCTTATTTTTATTTAGAAATAATAATAATGTTTACATTAATAATTTTATTTTACAGCACAATTCAAATACAATTATTATTATTATGTTTTATCTGGGCACACTTTGAAGGATTTATTTTGTAAGACAGACCCATTAAAAATAAAATTATCAAGTACATCAAAAAATTATTTTGAGTTGTGTATATACAAAAGTTTTTTTCTCTAGGTTGAATTTCCTAAAATATTTGCATTATATTGTTGAATGTTAAATCTGTGTCTGCCATGCAATAGCATGCAATAAGCTAATATGGCAATACATTTAAATAAAACCAAATTATTATTATTATTATTATTAATAGTTATATTGTTATATATAATCACAATTTGGGTGGGGCCAAAGTGTGCAGCCTTACAAACAAGTACAGCAAACCTGGAGCTTTTAAATAATTATAATTTTATCAGAAAATTTGCACTTCAATTATTCTTCCCCAAATCAAACTGCACTGTTAATATGGTTATTTTGCATTTTTATTTTCTGTATTAATGTGCTGTCTTCTGGCAGTACCGTCAGATGAGCTAAGAAAAAGATCACTGTTAATATCGCCTTCACATTGGAAGGCAAATTTCATTGTGGGATACAGTATTCTCTCTTTTGGTAAACATAGTAGGTCAGCCGGGTTTTCCATGTGTGGAAAGTCTGCATACTTCAGAAATAGTGTGATATGTACTATAGTATGCTAAGAACTTCCTGTTTTTCTCTGTAGTGGCAGCAGCGGGGGCAGCGGCAGTCGAGAGAACAGTGGCGGCAGCAGCATCGGCATTCCCATCGCCATACCGACTCCCTCCATTCCCAACTCCGTCCCAGGTGAGCCGCAGCCCACATATACAGCTTCTGCAAAAACACACTATCTGAAGCACAATGTCCTACAGGTTAGGGCCAACTTGAGAATTAGACGTACTCTACACATGTGGGTATTTAACGCTGCAGCATATCCTGTTCTCCAGAGTGAGAAATGGAGCAGGATTAGCTGTTCACTGTATGCCTACAGCTTTCATGGCCTGATTTTTCTAGCTAAAGGTTTGTTAAAGTAGGCCACTACACTGCACAAGGACAGGTAGAAATAGAGAGGAAGTGGGAAACTCTAAAGGGTGGTCTGCCTGCAGAGAACAGAAAAAAAGAGTGACGTTTAGTAAGAAGAGAGTTCACTGTCCTGTTCTCCTCTGAGATACCTGCTGGAGCCAAGAGGAACAGAGCCCCCCCTCCATCTCTCCTGAATCTTTCAGTCACCATAGTAACACTGCATCAGCACCTCTGATTTCCTTTTCCCGGATTAATGTTATTTAATGTTGACAGGACCTTTGAATGCAGTGTCTCTGTCTTTGTACCCCTTTTATGTCTGTTTGTGTATTTTTGTATAATAAAACGTAAGATTTTTTTCCCCCCTGGCTCTGATAAAGAACATGTCTTTATCTGATTTTGACATCCAAAACCTAGCGAGCTACCTACCTAGGCAACATTTTAAGGCATCTTCAATGCACTTACACTGCAAAGGCTATTCCAAAAGTTTAAAGATATGCTGAGATATCTCATTGACACACCAAGTCATGGGTCAGATGTCGGGCCGTCGTTGAGTGTCTGTCAGCTCAGTTTTTACAGCATGTTGGACCCCATTGGTGGCTTTTTGCCCGACTGAGCATGTTGATACTCAGCTGGTGAGAGAGATCGTTTTGATTGGCTGTTCAGCTTAGCGAACCAGTGAACAAGAAGAAAAACAAAAGTGGTGAAAGCAAGCAAATAACGATGTAAAGAGTGCACACAGAGAAGGTGCTTCTGATTTTACATCTTCATCTTACCTGAGCATTCTAATATGCAAATATTTTCATAAAAACATGGCCATCTGGAATGCAAAAAGTGACGTTATTTGCTAGTTCTCATCCAAGATGGCAGACAGAGTTGAGGGAAATGTTGATTAGTAATGTACTTGTATGATTCAGATAATTTACGTAATAATGCATTTAATGTTAAAGTTAATAGCCAAAGTTATCTTTATAAAAAGATCACTCCACCGTGTTTGTAGTTTTACCACTTTTTGTTTGTTTGTAGTTCTGAACCAAATCTTCATCCAAAGTGCAATGGGTTGTGGACAACATTAGCCATTAGAGTGTGCATGGATCCCCTATGTACTTATGCACAATGTACTCAACCGTATAGAGCAGTGTTTCCCAACCTTTTTTTAGTCGTGGCACCCTTTGGAAATTTTAACAAACTAGGTGAGCCCCTCCCCCAATCCCGCCGGCACCTGTGCAAATCCGTCCCGGACAACACCAGCGTTCCCGTCCCACCGTCCACCTGTCTGTCTGTGGGTCTTCAGCATGGGTCACAGAATTGATACGATCTGGGGATGGTGGTGGTGATTGTTATTTTGGGTGGTGGTTTTGTGCTGCTTCAGTTTAAATCAATGCACTGTGGAGAAGTCTCTGAACTGCCTGAAAGTTTTTCCCATTATTCATAAAGAGAGTATGGGCGGATTATTAGTGGTGTCTGATAACAGCAAAAATCCTGTAGAATTAAGACCTGTTCACACTAGGGACAATAGCTATAACGATGAGATTTAATAATCACTCTAATTCTATAAGAATAAAGATGTCCACCCCATAACTATAATGACCATGACAAAGGAAAACTATGTCACTGGATTCACTTTCAGAATTTTTTTTTTTTTTTCAGCTGATGAAAAATAAAAAAGCCAATTCGAATCCAACCGACTTTAAAGATCTTGCGCATTTAAAACAGTAGATGACAAAACTGCAGGAAACAAAATGTTATTGTGAGTTGATTTGGATGCTAATATAGTTATAGTTATCTTTATAGTTTTTTCTTGGTGTGAACAGGCCTTTAACTTGCAGTCACATTTACTTTTGTATTTTTGTTTGTGAAATTCTGCAGGCAAAAAACAGTCATGTCATTCGGAATCCGCACAATTGGGAATTTCGCTTGAGGTGAAAAATCCCACACAGATTTCGCATTGGATTATTTATTTATTTTTTACTTTGAACAACAAATTAATTTACTTGTATATAAACTGCATTTAAGTATGGAAGCCCATTTCCGCCAGTGAATCAAACATAAAAAAAGGTAATTGCGACTTCTCACAATTCACTTTTTTTTCTCTCTCTCAATTGTGAGTTTGTATTTCGCAATTGACTTTTTTCTCAGAATTGCGTGATAGTTATAAAGTCCAATTCTGAAGAAAAAAAGACAGTTTTTGGTTTTTTTTAGAATTGTGAGTTTATATCTTGCAATTCTGACTTTATTTCTTAGAATTGCGAGTATATTCTAACTTCATAACATGCAATTGCGACCTTATATCACACAATTCTGACGTTATAACTTCGCAATTGCAAGTTTATATCTTGCGATTCTGAGAAAATAAAAGTCAGAATTGCAAGTTTATAGCTTGTGATTCAGAGGGAAAAAAAGTCAGAACTTTGAGATAGAAAGCTGCAATTACCTTTTTTATTTTTATTCAGTTGCGGAAACAAGCTCCCATATGTAAAGCTCCTTGTTTTGGAAGTGGTGCTGTATGCATCGCTACACTATTGACAATAGACCATGACCCTACTTTGCATGCAAAATTTCACCGAAGTTTTTGGTAATGTGACTATTCCTTCACATGGAATGCATCTGGAACCTGATACATCATAGAAACACGCGGTTGGGCTCTTTTGAATAATGCAGCCACCTAGCAACCACCCAGAATATCTTAGAAACTGCATTGCAACACCTTAGCAACCACCTTTAAAAATCTAGCTTTGTGTTGAAGAGTCAGAGACTTCCTCACTACAGGTTCTTTTGAAAGAGCCACTGTTTTCCTTCTGCTTTACATCTTCCCAATGTTATGTAACCCAGTGTATTGATGTGATGATATACAGTATTAATCAACATCCTGTCCCATGATTCTGTTGATTAGAACAGCAGGTTTCACTGGCTCCATCAGGACACAGCTGGAATGAGATGTTTGTGTTGTGTTTATATCATATGTCACTGGTGAAGGCTTGTGATGCCGCAGTGATGTTTGTCCACTGTGTTTGTTGTTCGCTTGGTTCCGGCCATCACTATCAGGGAGACCGTGTCTCACTGTCCCACTGTCAACAGGAAATCTCCCTATAGAGGAAATACCATCTTCCCTGGCAGTGTAAACATAAGCAGGACTATTCTACAACTACAACTCACATAAACAAATCAAAAACCTGGTACTTTTTCTCAGGGCCTTTTCTAACTTCGTGCATTTTATTGCAGGTCATGTTGTTTTCATCTGAGGTTGGGTTTCTCACACCCAGGTTATCTTTGTGAATCTGGTGAAACATGTCCGGGTCATATTTATATTGAAGCTTGTTTCCACCACGGGATTAAAAAAAAAGAAAAAAAGTGACTTATCACATAGTTCAGACTTTTTATTTTTCTCCCCTCACCATTCTCTGTTTACATCTCACAATACTGACTTTTTTTCAAAATTCAGAATTACAGGATATGAGCTCACAACTCTGAGAAACAAAGTGGGATTAAAAAGTCGCAGTTGCCTTTATTTTATATATATATATATATATATATATATACACACACACATATATATATATACATACAATTGTAAGATGTATACTCAGAATTCTGAGGGCAATAAGTCGGAATTGCAAAAATGAGACAGTCTAAATGAGACAAATAAATAAATTAATTAATTAATTAAATTAATTTAAATAATTTTATTTATTATTTATCCATATATTTAAGCCCAAAATCAAATACAATATAATATAATAATAAATTATAATAAATCAATATTAAAATAAATAATTTAGCACTATTTTGCTTGAAGCCTGTTTTAGAACCACTACATTTTTTTTTGTTCTGTGATAATATTGTAAAGAAAATTAGCAACATTGTCTTCCAGAGTCTCACTGCTGTCTGGCTGTTTTATTTTTGAGTTTCTCATTGTTCTCGTTGAAGATTCTCATTAAATTTTCGTTAATGTAATATAATGTAATTTTACTGTATCATAGTAATAATAAAAAAAATAATAATACATAGATGTTTTTATGAAAAGCAGCATAAATGTTTTTGTTTGTTGTTGTTGTTGTGTTTTGGTTTGATTTTTGTTTTTTTGTAAAAATAATGCCATGACGGCAAAAAAGGTTCACTTTTTTTTTTCCCCTCCAAAAATGTATGAAATATGACCTGGAAATGTGCTTGACATGTTTTGTTAGATTCACTCTTACGTTTGCCTATTAGTAAAACGAATAAATCTCGGGAAGCTTTTTCTTGCTTGTATGCATGTCATTCACTGCCCTCTTCTGGATTTTCTCTTGTCTCTGTACCTTCTTCTCTGGGTACGAACAGCTGTGGCTGCTGGGCCAGGTCTCGGGCCCATCCCAATGTCTCAGTTCGGCACGATATCTCGGCAGATCTCCCGACACAGCTCCACCACCTCCTCCGTCTCCATGGTTTCTGCCACAGGCACATACCGCCGAGCGCCGGCCGTCTCTTCCCAGTTCTCCCTGCAGCAGCCGCACGTTAACGGGGGCACAAATGCAAGTAAGAGATGGAGAACGACGCACGAATATACAGACACACGTACAAACTCACAGCCAATTTAATCACATGTGGAGTTCCATCGCGACAGTTTCATTCCTTTAAATTCAGCCCTAGCTTGGTGAAAGCCATGTCGAAGCATCATAATACCCGGGTATTTCTAGGCGCATCCTGTCTGCGATGAAGGGAACAGCCTGTCTCTTCCCACAGGTGTGCGGCCATACACACTAATGCCATTAAGACCGCAAAAGCCTCAGATTTATGAGCATTGAGAGCACCGGGCCGGTGGCCACCTGCTTATGAATGGAGATTTATTGTCATCTACGCATTAAAGCTGAGGTTTTATATCTCACTGTCTGATGCCCAGAAGCATCATATCATCATCAGACGTGAACGAGAGAGTATTACTGAAACACAACATTCATGGAAAAAGATCCTATTAGTTCTATTTTAACAAACTTTCTATTCATCAGAGTATATTGAAAAAAAGCATCACAATTTCTACAAAATATTAAGAAATGTTTTTTAAGCAGCAAATCAGCATATTAGAATGATGCTGAAAATTCAGCTTTGCCGTCACAGGAATAAATTACATTTTAAAGTATATTACAATACAAAACTTTTATTATTATTATTATTTGTAATAAAAATACTTTCTTTTTCACTGTAAAGACCTTTCACATTTATTTATTTATTTAAATTATTCAAATGGTATTTTTTTTCTGGAAACTGTCTGGACATTTTAGTTCAGTTGTATTAAATTTCAGTTCAGGCCTGAAATAAACATGGAAATTAATACAATCTTTAATGGGAATTTCTATAATAAGTATCTAGTTATGCTAAATTGAAATTATTATGCTTAACTACAATATTTTACCAGCCAGGGTTATTAAAGTTAACTAAAACTAAAACCAGAGTTATTATAGTTAACTAGAAAAAAAAAAAAGAAGGTTACTTGAAATAAAAGAAATGTTAACTGAAATGAAATAAAATATGGAAAAAAAAAAAACGAAAAAAAAAATAATTTATTTCAGCAAGTTTCCAAGCCAGCATTTTTAATTATCATTGAGTGTAACTGGGTGTACTAAAATAACTAAAACTACAACTGAAACAAAAAAATTGTAAAAATGATATAACCATATTTAAAAAAATATATATATAAAAAAAAAAAATACAAAAACACAACAAAATCCTAAAACTTTACCTAAAATTAACATTAAACCATAAAATATAAAAAATGAAATCTATTTCAAAATATGTGACCCTAGACCACAAAACCAGTCTGAAGTGTCAATTTTTCAAAATTAAGATTGATACATCATCTGAAAGCTGAATAAATAAGATGGCCGAGATGCAACTATTTGAAAATCTGGAATATGAGGGTGCAAAAAAATCTAAATATTTAGAAAATCGCATTTAAAGTTGTCCAAATGAAGTTCTTAGTAATGCAGATTAATAATCAACAATTAAGTTTTGATGTATTTATGGTAAGAAATGTACAAAATATCTTCATGGATCATGATCTTTACTTAATATCCTAATGATTTTTGGCATAAAAGAAAAATATATAATTTTGACCCATACAATGTATTTTTGTATGGGTATTTAAGACTGCTTTTGTGCTCCAGGGTCACATATTTAAAAAAAAATCAATGATACTAAAATAATTACTCGTCGTGATATAATAATTATCTCTATAAAATGATTTAAAATCCTTTTCCAGTCCATTACAAACAACTTAAAATGTCGTCGAAATGAACCAGTCTGTCTATATCTATAAGATTACAATTCCCCAGCTTTCTCATGTGGGACTGATGTTTTTTTTCTCTTCCTGCTTGTCTCTTTCGTCTCTGTCTTTGCGGTGTGCTTGTGTTCAGTGTCTATGGCCCCCCCTCCTCCACCCATGCCTCAGCTCACCCCACAGATCCCGCTCACAGGTTTTGTGGCCAGAGTTCAGGAAAACAGTAAGTCTGACGGCCATTTTTCCCCAACGTTTCTCAGCCCAGCATGTGGATGTGTTAGAGGTTTGCTGCATGCTGCCCTCGTCTGCATTTCCATCCATCCGTCTGTGCTGTAGTAGACATTGTTCATTCTGTACGATTCAAACATTACACTACAGTAAAGCCTTTCCTCACGCCTAAAGCCTGCAAAGAAGTGTCAAACATTTACATAAGTGTGTATTGCTTTACGTAACCTAAAAGAGGCTTAATAGACTGTTTGCAGAAAGATTTCTTGAAAGGCACTCATTGTTTTTTTTTTGTCATTTGCACATGTTCTATGTTCTGGATTATATTGGGATTTAATCTCGGACGTATTCAATGGCAATAAAGCGGGTCTCGTTTATAGACTTCCCCTGTATGTGATATTAGACACTCTTTATTCATTAATTGGGCTACATTTGTGTACAGCTCTGTGTTTGATTTCTACCCAGCAAGCTTCAGGTAGGGCTAAATGACACTGATGCATCATGGGAAGAATTGAAAGCTGTTAACCAGCGTTAAAACGGCATCGGTTAACTCGCATTCTGCTGAAAGTTTTGTATTTAATACAAGGTCGCATGAACAACTTGTCAAGTTGCAACAAAAATGCTCTATGAGTGCGCTTTATTTCTCAGAAAGTTGTCATAACACAAGCACAAAGTGGTTTTTGCTGCATTCTGGTATTGTGTTGAGGATGTCTCACGAAGCCGTCTAGACCTCTGACTGAACTTTGTCTGATCAGCTTATTATTCTTAGACAGGAAGTGATAGTTTGATCAAGTACAGTTCATTTTGGTTTCATGTGCTTCCAAATATTAAAGCTGCTATATATTTAAAAATATAATTTGACATTTATATTTTATGAGGAACGTTTAGGTGTCAATAATAATAATAATAATTATTATTATTTAAAAATAATTACATATGTACAATTTGTGTAATAATTGAATAATTATACATAATTGTTCATTATGATTTTATTATATTATTTTTTTTATAATGTCACTGTAATCAGGCCAAAGCAAATTAATTGTTAACCTACTGTTAACATTGTATAAACCATAATAAAACAAAATAATAAAAAAGATGTCAATCAGTGTTATGTTAGTATTATTATAATATTGTATCTTTATAATTTAGGCTTATTTTTATATGTGCAGTTTTCATTTGAATTGAATTTTAATGCATTTTTTTGTTTGTTTTTTTGTAGTTTTGTTATGTGCTTTATTAGTTTCTTTTTAAGATTTATTTATTTGTTTGTTTATGTATTTATTTAAACTTAACTAGTTTTTACTAGAATTTAACTAGTGGACAAGGAAACATTTCTAATTCATTTAAGTGTTAAATTCATTTTTTCATCTATTTAATTTCAGCGTTTTAGTTAACAAAAATGATTTGTAATAGTTTTAGTTAACAATAAGAACTCTGCCGTCAGTAGAACAAATCATTTCCCACCAGATTTTAGAAAGCAATATAAAATAGAAATATGAAAGTTTAGAAAGTTGAAGTTGATATGAAGTTTAAAACAAGTCAAAAAAGGTTTAGTTAAACTCAGGTTAACATTTTAACATTTAACTATTCTATTTTTTTCTTCTTCAAAATTTCTCAGACCCTCAAGCACCCTTTTCGAGTTTGAGTGTGTAGAGTGTGTACTGTGTATTATGTCATATACTGAGGATAGATTTCATAGTGTTGCTGTCTTTTGGATATTGAATTAAACTCTGTTCCATTTTAGTCTGGTAAGTATTGATATCTGTGATGCATAGACAGTAATCTCCCTAGATCCATAGATGTGTTTGTGTGATGCATGTTCTCCAGCAGACATGAGTGTTTCTGCAACTTCCCTGTTGTTGATGCATGTCTACTAACCAGTCTGCATGAGCATGTGTTCACGGTGAGCTGCTGGATCGCATGCCCAGCACATCTCTCCATCACGGAGCGTGTGGTTTTATTGTGTCTGAAGCTGACGGTGTTGTTTGCTGGATGTCAGTTGCAGATACCCCGACTCTTCCCCCTCCCCCTGATGACATGCCCATGTTTGACGAGGCTCCGCCTCCACCTCCGCCTCCACCAGTCGACTTTGAAGATGAAGAGGCAGCTGTAGTGCAGTATAGTGACCCCTATGCAGATGGAGACCCTCACTGGGCCCCCAAGTCCTACATTGAGAAAGGTGAGGTTTTTTAAACATCAATACTGAATACTACTTAGTTTTATTTCTCTACTGAAATTGTATTTTATTTTATTGACAAGTAATTAATATCATATTTATTTATATTATTTTGTTATGATTTATTATTTTTATTTTCTTATTTTTATTGTTGTTGTTGCTATATTTAACATTGTTTATATATTTATTTTATTAACATTTATTCTTAAATTACATTTATATGCACACATACACATTTGTATACACATAATTAAAATGTTATCATTAACATGTAACGTTGTTTTTTATTTATTAGCATTATTTTTATATTTATTTTATTACCTTTTACACATGTATACATAACATTTTATTTATTAGCATAACTATTTATATTTTAGTTTTATTGATGTTGTTACATTTTTATGTATTAACATTTGTATATTTGACATTTATTAATATGTAACTTTATATTTTGAAAGATATTTTTTATTATGTATTCTTAACAATTATTTACATAATAATAATAATAATAATAATAATAATAATAACAATAATAATTATTATTATATTAATGACATTTAGTTTAACATTTTATTATTATATGTTATATAAACATATCTGTATATTTATTGAAATAATTTAATTATTTATGATTTATATATTTTATTATTATTAACTTTGATTAGTTTTAACATATGTAACTTATATTTAATGAAATTATTAATGATATGTATACCAATAATAAGAATATTATTATTATTATTGACATTAATTTTATTAACATTTAATTATAAACATTGTATATTTATTAAAATAATTACCATATAATTTATATAATATAAAATGTTTATTATTATTATGCCATTTTATTTAATAGCATGCAACTATTGTTTTCATTTATATTATTATTATTATTGATATATGTATCATTCATCATAATTATTATTATATAATTTAATGTATATTTCATTAAATACTGTTTAAGAAGTTACATTGTTAATAACTAAATTAAATGTTACTACTACTACTACTACTACTACTACTAAAATATATAAATCATTTAAAATTATGCTATTACATATAATATTATTATTATATGTAATAGCATAATTTTAAATTAGTATATTTTAGTAGTAGTAGTAGTAGTAACATTTAATTTAGTTATTAACATAATGTAACTTCTTAAACAGTATTTAATTAAATTATTATGAATGATACGTATATCAATAATAATGTTAATAACTAAATTAAATGTTACTACTACTACTACTACTACTAAAATATATAAATCATTTAAAATTATGCTATTGCATATAATATTATTATATGTAATAGCATAATTTTAAATGATTAGTATATTTTAGTAGTAGTAGTAGTAACATTTAATTTAGTTATTAACATAATGTAACTTCTTAAACAGTATTTAATTAAATTATTATGAATGATACGTATATCAATAATAATAATATCAATGAAAACATAATAGTTACATGCTATTAAATAAAATGGCATAATAATAATAATAATAAAGCTCTTTATTGAACATTAGTGTCTTTTTACATATTGTTGTTGCCTAAGAACACCCTTAATATAGTGCAGAGTCTGAAGTGGCTTATTGTTTAATAACTGATATTTCCCATGACTTTAATCTTTGCAGTGGTTGCCATCTACGACTACACCAAGGATAAGGGTGATGAACTGAGCTTCATGGAAGGAGCCATCATCTACATCATCAAGAAGAATGACGACGGCTGGTTCGAGGGCGTTTGCAACGGCGTCACTGGTCTGTTTCCCGGAAACTACGTGGAGTCCATCATGCACTACACCGACTGAAGAGAGCGGACTTCAATCAGATCTGACCACAGTATAGACCGCTGTTCCTCACAAATGAACTTTCCTCCGTGGTGATGGGTGGATGTGGGCAAACGGGATGAGCAGCTATTCGGAGGAAGTCAGTGTGCATAAAAGGAAAGTTAGCCTGTGGGTGTCTGTAGTGAATGTCAATCACAGTCAATACAACATGTGAACATGCTTTTATGACATTTCCAACAAAGTCGACCATTTACTTGATTTCCTTGATCTCTTCTCTCCATTCACATTTGTTTGGACATTTTGGATGAGAAAATCACTCATCTTATGAACTAATTAATTTGAGTGTTTTATCTTAAAGCACCACGTCATTGCCCCAAAGTGTAAAAAATCTTAACGTAAAGCATGCATACAAAATTGAAATATGTATTGTAACCTAAACGTTCAATTCCATTCATCTTTGTATTCTTTACAGTACACATTTTTTAATATAGGCATTTGTAGACTACTTATTTCTTATGCTCTAATTGTTAGTTTAATATTGATATTTTGGGGGGGGGGGGAAATAAATGCAAAGCACAGAACTTTTTTTCTTTTTTCCTGAAGACTCACATTCTCTCCCTCCATTTTTATATTTTTTTAGTTAATGCCACAATGACTAAAGTATTTGCTACAATGAACAAACATGAATTCTGTGTAGATAGCTTTAATATTTAGTCTGTAAAGTATCTAAAGGTCTCTAATCAATACAAATCACAATTCTTACGATGCTGGACTCATTTTTTTTAAAGTACCAATACTGTGGTTGGCGCATTGAACAATGAACTGAGTATAATCAGAATCGCAGTCTTGAGATCTGAACTAGTTACTCAACTCAGGTCTGGCATCAATTCCTCTTTTATTAAATGTTTCATCTATTTCCATTCTTTGAGCTGTTTCAGGAGTCATACTGTCTGACGACTGATTACAGAGATTTCATTTCAACTACATCTGACCGCTGTCAGTCATTTCAGGTGTTCAGAGCTAATGCCTCCAGACTCGTTTTTGTCATACTGAAACATTTGAAGTGTTCCAACTGAATTCCATCTGCGCTGAAGCTCGTCTCAGCTCAGAATTTGTATTTATGTTAATTGAAATTTAATTGTACAGCCTTTTATAATAAATGATTCTATGTAAAATGTGTGTCTGTTCATTTACATTTTCGGCCATGTGTTACCTTTTTTAAATGAATGTAGAGCCAGACTCAAATTTACATCTACCATACATTAACCAAATTTAATACAAATTAGTAATAATAATTGCGACCAAAAAATAGATTTGTCCGTAAGTTTTATGAAATTTACAACAAACATCCTAATTAAAAAAAAATAGTAATCATAAAACAGCCTAATGTGATTAAACTTTAAAAAGCTATATTTTTTTCTGGTTAATAATGCTATTTTGGTTACACGGTAAACTTGATTCAGCATTTAATTAAACTCTTAACTTTTGTCTAGGCTGCCCATGAAGAAGAAGAAGATTATTTAAAAAATATTATTCAAAATATAGAATTTACTAGTATCAGCAAAATAATCTGGTTATTGCACATTACTAGAAGTAAAACTAAAGGCATATTATGAAAACATAAGGAAATATTATGAGCCTTTTTATTTTTCCTTTTTTGAGATGTTTTTACCAAAATCAAAAAGTTTGATCAATGCCATTTTACTTTCTAGAAATTAACTTTTTTTTTTACATACAATATTATTACATTTAGGGACATTCTAAATAGAATTGCTAGATTTTTTTTTTTCCAAAAACGAAACATACGTTACATACATTTCAGTGTCAGTTTTATGTAAGGTTTCTTTTTTTTTTCCCTAATAGGGACAAGATGGGAAAGTAAGAGTCAAACAGGTGGTTTACTTTAAAAAATACCGTTTTTTAATTTGAGTAAATAGCCAGTGAGGTTTAAGGCCTTGGTTGTTTTTAAGCACTTGATACACTTGAAGTACATTAACAAGAACATCTTCGACATCAAAAACGTTTGGCCTTTCGTAGTGTGGACGGATGTTTAAGGATCCACATAGACACACACACACACACACACACGTGACGGTAGCACCTCCATCTGTGCTACACCTGGAATTACAATGATTTCACAGAGTTTCTCTGTTCTTCCGTACCAGTAGAGCACCTCACCAGAGGTTAACGGAGGTCAGGGCTGTGCGTTTACAGTACGGTCAAGCATACAGTGACCATGTAAATGTGATTGTTTGATCTCTGAAGCCCCGGCGTGGTCCTGCAGAGGTGTAGCTGCCTGAGTGTGGAGCTCTGCGTCCAGGCTCACTTGTCTCTGCGCAGCACCAGCTCAGTCAGCTGGATGAGCGCGTCTCGCTCTGTCGACGGCCGCAGCCGGCTGATCTGATGAATGGCCTCTTGGCAGTAGTGTTGGGCGAGGTAGTTAGTCTGTTCCACACCGTCACTCTGTGTGTGTGTGTGAAAACAGAGATGAGTGGGGCTGTTCAAAGCTACTTACAGAAACTTCTGTAATGATTCTTTAACTATACTAATAGGATGAATCACAAGAAACATCAAAAACTTGTCCAGGGCATATTCCTGAGGAGGACTATGAGTGACACTTACATATAAAATGAAGGAATATGTTCTATTAATTGTGACCCTGGAGCACAAAAGCAGTCTTAAGTCGCTGGGGTATATTTGTAGCAATAGCCAAAAATACATTGTATGGGTCAAAATTATCGATTTTCCTTTTATGCCAAAAATCTAAAATTCATGTTCCATGAAGATATTTTGTAAATTTCCTACCGTAAATACATCAAAACTTCATTTTTGATTAGTAATATGCATTGCTAAGGACTTCATTTGGACAACTTTAAAGGCGATTTTCTCAGTATTTTGATTTTTTTGCACCCTCAGATTCCAGATTTTCAAATAGTTGTATCTCAGCCAAATATTGTCCTATCCTAACAAACCATACATCAAGCTTATTTATTCAGCTATCAGAGGATGTATTAATCTCAATTTCAAAATAATAGACCCTTATGACCAGTTTTGTGGTGTAGGGTCACAATTAATTAATGAATCTATTCAAACATAAAAATGTAAATGATGTTTTAGACTAATTAAGACTAGACCGATTTAAAACTATTTCATTTGTTTTAAAATGCAGTTTTAAATCAAATCATTTCTTAAATTGAAAGATAATTATACAAATGTAAGTGAATTTGTTTTTGAATGCAGTTAAATGAAACAAAATAGTAAATGAAATAAGTTTTAAATACACATTTTAATTGGCATTTAAAAAAAAAAAAAAAACATTTTGCAAGTAATTTTTCTGCCCGTTTGTCAATTTTCTTTATGGTTTTGTCAAAGGCTTTACTTTTTCAATATTTCACCACACAAAAAAAGAGGTTTTATTTTCTATTTAATTTTATTTTTATTCATTATATTTTTATTTTTTGCTTAAAACGAAGCCTTTTTAATATCATACAAAAAATGGTATTCTCATTAATATAACACACAAAAAATAATAATTAAGGTTATGCAATAAATATACACTATGAAAATATTATAGTATATGTAGTATAGCAAAATAATGAGTACATATATTTGGTATACATATTTATGTAAGAAATGTATAAAGGTTCTAGATCATGTCATTTTCACAACTCACAATTTAAAAAACTCTTTTTATGGAGCTTTGTCTACTGAAAGACATTTCTTCAGCTAAAAAATTGGTAAATCCTCACAGTATTTTCATTTCTATCAAACATTAAAGGGACAGTTCACCAAAAATGAATTGGTGTCATTAATTACTCACCCTCATGTCGTTCCAAACCCATAAGACCTCCGTTCATCTTCAGAACACAAATTAAGATATGTTTGATGAAATCCGAGAGCTTTCTGACTCTCTATAGAGAGCAAGGGTACTACCACAATCAAGGCACAGAAACGTAGCAAGGAGATCGGTAAAATAATCCATGTGACATCAGGGGTTCAACAGTAATTTTATGAAGCTACGAGAATACTTTGAGCGCAAAGAAAACAAAAATAACGATTTTATTCAACAATTGTACTTCTCCGTGTCACCCTAGCTCCATTTTGGAGAGTATCATTATGCATGCGCGTGCTTTCCTCTGAATGTAAACAAGGCACAGCGCATGCGTTTGGAACGACATGAGGATGAGTAATTAATGACAGAATTTTCATTTTTGGGTGAACTGTCCCTTTAAATATGGAGCCTCCCTGCCTGACTAAGGTCTATAATGTTAAAGGGGTCCTATTATGCTCTTTTACAAAGTCTTGATTTTGTTTTGGGGGTGTACTAGAACAGGCT